ACAAGGTATGGGTCAGCACGGGACCCAGCACAGAGGGGTATGCGGACCCCCAGGCAAGGGGAACACATTGCTCACTGTCCTGCAGCAGGCCCCAGCCTGATGTGGCACAGTGGGTGACGTGTTTGGCCCAGGAACGCAGGCCAGCTGTGTTGGGACACGTCCTGCCAGAGCTCATGTGCTCTGTTTGGTGACATCTGTTGTCTCTGAGCGCCCGGTAGCCACAGCTGGCCATTCCCGATAGCGAGGCTATGCAGAGACAACACTTTCGAATGACTGCAGTTACTGAGGAGCAGCTTCTCTTTCTTGTTGACCTCAGTAGTACCCAGACTGTCTCTCGGAGGTAACTGCTTTGTTTCCTGTTGCTGTTCTTTTGTTTTACGTTATGAGTCATTCAGGTATGACGAGAGCAGTCGGTGCCATCTTTGCCACGCGACACGTTTTATTGTTGTCTCTTTGCCTGACTCAGCTTTCAGATGGCAAACAAAATACGTCTCGGTGGATGCCGTCACGCCCTTCTGGGACAGCTACGTGGCACCAGGATGGCTCGGGGCCCTTGGAATTTCAGTCAGGCCCGGAGCTCGCCTGGGCTGCGATGGCAGGTGGCAGCAGGTCGTCATGATTAACTATTTGCACAGTATAATGAAGGTTTGGAACGAAATGTCAGGCGCAGCCCATCTTGCAGCTTGATGCTCTCCAAATAGTTTAAGGGGGAAAGCTGACATTTTGTTTGCTGCCATAGCTTAATTTGTTTACGGAGAGATTTTATACTATTCTTATTTGAGACCATGTGCTCACGTGATGCGCACATGCGTGTGTGTGTGTGTGCATGCACATGCAGCCCCCCATCCCCCTCCAGTCCTGGCAAGGTGGGTGGAGGTATAAAGAGAGCCCTGCTGTTTTTACCCCTTTGCAGTAACAGCTCCATGTTTCTGTGCGTCTTCGGGTCGTTATCAAAGTATTTGGCAGATTTGGGGAGTAACCCCAGCGTTACCTGACCTCTCTTACAACAGGATTTTGTTCTCCACCTAGATCCCAGCATGGGTACCTGCAGTGACCCACATATACGACTTAATAACAATTCAGATCTTCCAGAAAGCAGGTAGAACGTGCTTCTCGGGTTCTGCACAAACCGCCCATTTCTGTGCTCGGTTTGGTGGGCTCTTCAGACAGCAGTGGTGGGATTTTTCCCAAATGCTTGATAAGAGCAGGGCCTGTAAATAAACTACGAGTGCTGTTCTTACATTGCAGCTTCTGTTTTGTTTAATTTTTGCCCAGGTCTTTCTATCCGAGGTGTGCAGGGTGCTCTACACAGAAAGGACAATCCCTTTGATTCAGACTCAGTATATTTGCCTTGCAAACAAAGGGTTTTAGTCTGGTAATCTGGGCTGTGTGAGTGAATCTCCATGTGCCTGGAGAGTGCCATGGAGTTCAGTGGGACTCCATGGGTGGGTCCCCGTGTGCAAGCATGTGTGGTTTGCGGTACCACAAACCTTTTTGTGGTGCCGCAAACTGCACACAGTGAATGTTCAAGTGTGTCCCGTATTGCAGATTTGCAGCATGGTTCCTAAATTCACTACATGGTAAGTAGCAACAAAACCCCCCAAAACTGGAGCAAAAAATGGTGCAATGCAAGCTCAACAAGCCTGTGCCAGTGCGCACAGAGGCCAGGCCATCCAGAGCAACTCTTCGGATGCCGGCCAGGCCTCCGTGCTGCCCCACCTGTGCCCCTGCTACTCCAGGCCACCAGGGAAGACTGCTGGGGCCAGCACTGGCACTAGCCCCAGCCTCCAGCTCTCCCTGGCTGCAGAGCCAAGAGGATCTGGGCAAGGGCAGTTTGCCCGTTGCGGGACAAATTGTCCCACAACGAAGTGCATGTGCAGGGGCATGCGCTGCAGCAGTTTGTGCGTGTCTGGACATGGCCCATGTGACTTGTGGAGGTGTGCAGATGGGATTGCAGGATGAGGGATCCTGTGTAATCTTGGGACAGCAAACACCTTGGAGAAGTCTGGAAGAGGAGGACAAAAGGATACAGCTAAAGTAGCTGGAGTGTTTGGTTCTGGGCTCTTGGAGGGAGAAAAATTTACAGAACTCGCTAGTCTTTGCTTTTGCATCACTCTTATTTTAAGTGCCGTTGCTATAGCGTAAGCATGGTAAGTGTTCTTAATTCAGCACAAGGTCTAAAAGAGGGCCAGAGGCGTGACAGCCTGATTAGCCCTCTCGCTAAGGTATTGCACCACCGCCCTTTTAGAAATGGTTTATTGAAGCTGCTCTTAGCATCCTGGCTCCCTGGTCCCCATTTGTGCGTGGCGTCTCACCTACCCTGGTACCCACCCACAGGTTAGAAATAAAGAATGGGAAGAGATGTCTTTTTTTAGGATCTTTCTTTAGGATCTTCTTTCGGAAAGGGATCTTGGAGTCATTATTGACTCCAGGATGAACATGAGCCGCCAATGCCAGACCGCAGCCAGCAAAGCCAACTGCACCTTGTCGTGCATCCAAAGATGCATCTCAAACCGGTCCAGAGAGGTGATACTCCCCCTCTATGCGACATTGGTCAGGCCACAGTTGAAGTACTGCGTCCAGTACTGGGCACCACACTTTAAAAAGGATGTGGCCTGCCCAGAGAGGGTTCAGAGGAGGCCACCTGCTCGGTTGGAGGGCAACAGGGCAGCCCCTATGAGGAGAGGCTGAGGGACCTGAACCTGTTCAGCCTCAGCAAGCGGAGGCCAACGGGGGATTTGGTGTCTGCCTACAAACTCATTAGGGGAGATCAGCAGCAAATAGGAAGAGCCCTATTCCCCCCTGCACCACCTGGGGTGACGAGGAACAACGGCCAGAAGCTGCTGGAGAATAGGTTCAGGTTAGAGACTAGGAGGCACTATTGCACTGTTAGGGTGGCTAGGATCTGAAACCAACTTCCTAGGGAAGTGGTCCTCGCTCCGACCTTGGGTAAATTCAAAAAGAGGTTGGACGAACACCTGTCTGGGGTCGTGTGATCCCAGCATGTGCTCCGGCCAGTGGCGGCGGGTCAGACTAGATGATCTGTTTAGGTACCTCCTGACCCCAAACTACTATGAAACTACGTAGACTATCTGTTCTTAGCTATGTCTGCTATGGTCCACTTGCTGGGCTAGGGCAGGGGCGAGCAGAAACGTGGGGAAGACGGCTGAGAGAGAAGGGCGTCTCAATGAAGAAGCAAAAGGGCCTCGGCGCTCTGTGCCAGAGCCTGAAAACTTGGTCGTCCACCTGCTTCGTCGGGACCGCGCGGCATGCTGTGTGGGGGGCACCGGAGGGGTCTTGTGAGGTCCCTTCCAGCCTTGCCGTCCGATGTTCCCGTAGCGTGTCCAGGCCCCGAGGGCAGCTCTGGACGGGCGCGGAGGAGAGAATTCACGTTTCTTTTTAGTGCTCTGTGCTGGGGTAATGGTGCCACAGCTTCTTAGTTTACAGTGCGATGGGGCTCAAAATGTGGCATGTACAGAGGTGTGCTCATGTGCGATTTGGGGGGATGGTTCTTTCTGCTGGCATGTGCGGGGGGTTTTTTTTTTGTTTTTTTTTTTTTTACGGTTTTACAAATCGGGATGTCAGTCATGTCCACTTTTCCTAGTTTTTGCTAGAGAACTTCTTGGAGCACATAGGCTAACTCTCATACTTAAAAAAGCATTTCCAAATTGAAGTTGTTAGCAATATAAGAAAATTAGGCTTATTATAAAAGTCCGCTCTCCAAGCAGCTAGCAGAGTTTTCTTTCATTCTCATTCTTTCTTTCATTCTCGTGCTCTTTCTTTCACTCGCTCACTCTCGTATTACTAATTTTCTGTCACCATAGAGCCTTCTACACTTGACAAGATATAATTTCTAATGGACACAAAAATCCAGTAAAATGTGAAGAAAAACCTTTTGGGCATTATTAATGTGTTATAAAGAATAAAAACCATAAATTGATTTCATCCTCTGCCGGTTGTCTGTAACAATAGTCAAGGTTTTTCAGAAGTGTAGAAGCTTCAGTTCTGTGGAACATTGTTTGAAATAGCAAAAATTGCAGGAAAAGCCCTGAAATTATGGGATCTTTGTTCCCCTCCCTCTTCTCTAATTGTCTCTCATTCTGTGACTTTTCCACTGGCCCTGCTCTTCGGCTGCTGTGAACTATCAAACGCTAATATAGACGATGAGGGTATAAAAAATGGGATTTGACAAAGGCAGCCATGTTAATTTTGTTCCATTTGAAATGCGGGGAAAATATCATCTGCCAAATGGAAAAGGACAAAATCACTGGGGAAAGAAATGTTCTTTTCAAGCTTCTAAGAGCAGTGACAATGCAGGGAAAACACACTATAAAAAGTAGACAGTTCCTATTTCAAAATTTAGTTTCCAGTGTTTTATGCATGATTCATTGTGCACAAATGCTTTTTTGGAGTCCTAAGTGATCAAACGCAACATGGCAGGTCTTATTCGGTCTCTGCTGTATTGCACTCGGGGTTGTGTTTTGTTTCTTTTTTTTTTTTTTTGGTTGAGCTACATGGCTGTTCTACTCGATCCTCAGTATAATTTTTGAATACATTCATACTTCCCTTATTTGCCTTTTTTAATGTCAAGCGTTGCACATAAGATGTTCTGCCGTTGCTATGCAACTGCTAAATCCAATATTTAATATTAATAAAAACTGAGTGGCATTAACATCAGTGAGAACAGTGGGCTAGCAAACTATGATTGTACAATATCCAAGCTGTAAAACTTGGCAGGGATTTTGGTGTGCTGTTGCATGCATGACAAGCTGTGGGGTATGCGTCATTGGCAGTTGCTATTTTAAGAGTGGCGAGTTTGGAGGCGAGTCTCTAAGCTCCCTTGATCCTAACAACAAAAAAAGTGAAAGGGGCTGAGGTTGGTTGGCTGGGTCAGGCCAGGAGCGGATGGTGATGGGTCGTCATCCATGAGTAATAGCGGAGGGGTCAGAACGATAAACGTGAGGGTCAAAACCCTGACTCTTCTGTTTTTCTTCCCCCAGGTCAGGTGGGTGTGCCCTTCCCCATTGTTCCTGCCACTTCCTGAAGCCTGCACTGGCTTTCTTTGGAGGCAGTACTGCTTGCCTGCCTGACAAGGTGCAGTTTGATGAGATCTTTTATTTCTTCTTTCCCTCCCCCTCCTTGCCTCTGATCTTTCTCCTCGCTCTCATCTGCATTTGACTGCGCCACTCTTGCCATTTTCCACTTTTGTTCCCCACCCTAGCACGTGTGCTAGATATTAGCATTATATTTGATGCTAGATGTGCTGCCGCAGATGGCATCGTAACCTGGCTGCGGCTTAGCCATCCAAGTAGCAGTAAATGGTAGAAGTGCTTCCAGGATCCTGCCTCGCACCTCGGATGTTGTCAGTGCTTCTAGTGTTGCGCTGGAGCTGTTGCCAGCATGTGATGGGCAGAGCGGGGCTGCTCGAGGTCTCCATTTGGACTGTGCCCGGGTGGTCTCGAGGGAAGGTGTGACATCGGCCGGGACGTGTATACCCCTGGGGAGCGGGCAGCCTTGTCGTTGCTTTCTGCCAGGGGATGCCATCAGCCTGAATTTGACCCCGAACTGCATGCAGGTGGTTCGCCTGCTCTTGAATCCTCCAGCCAGGTTCGGTAGCTCTGCAGTCACATTTCACCGTCTCGCGGAAGTGATCATCGTCTCTCACGGCTGTGTTTGAAAGGTCCGCACGCAGGAACCGGCCAGCTAACTACGCTCAAGGTGCTTTATAATAACGTGCCAGGTGAACCTGCTGGAACAAAGAAAAATATTCTTTCTTAATTTTTTCCCGTTTACAGTCATCTTGGGTGTCGCTTACAGCACAAATGTTTCCAGGCACGAGGGGGGTTGAATTGCCAGCGTTGTTTTAGTATAGTCCACGCACTCGCAGTGTTCACTTCCTTCTAGTACTATGTACTTGGTGCTGCTAAGAGTTACATTCATGACTTTCTGTTCTCGTACGGTGGCAGCAATGTAGGGAGACGGTCTTTTTGTGCAGAGGCTAAAATTGGCCTGAAATCCCCGTTCTGCTTTTAAAAAAATAAGGCATAGAGCATTGCAACTGAGTAAATCAGGCTCCCTGAAAACACAGAGTCGTGACGCCGACTGGAACATGCATTTCTCTCTCGAATGGGATAGGATTGCTGCAAACCCCGTCCTTTTCGAATCGTCTTTGTCCCCAAGAAATCGGGAGGCAGAATCAGTTTGTGAAGAAGCTGCCAGAGGGCTTGGCACCTTGGAAAATACACATTTTTGACATTGAACTTGGAGGCTTTAGTGAGAGCAGGTTTGGTTTTTAATTTTTTTTTTTTTAAAGGAAAGTGCCTGGAATTGCGCAGCGCATTGTGGAAGCTCAAACTTGCCTTTTTCTTATCATAATGATTTCTGTTAGTGCCCCCCACTGCTCTTTATTGAGCCCAGTTCGCTGTGAAAGTGCAGGGGTTGAAGCGGACCCAAGATGCTGTTGTGATGTGCCGCAGTTCAGTCCTCAATTCACCGTACATCTTGGGAGTACTAGGAGAGAACACGTTCAGATCTGTTCTGGGAACAGATAAATATAGACCTGCTATTGTAAATATTCTGGCAGCGACGTTCTTAATCTAGAAAGCTAACAATTCTTTTCTTTGCTTTTAGGGTTTGAAAGTATTCTAGAAGGGCTGTTTGGACCTGGATTATTAAAAGATCTCAGTTTGTTTAAAGGTATTCAATCTCTATTTTTGTGTCTTGTTCTGCATTTCTAATGACAGAAGCAACCCCAGCTCTGCCTCTAGAAAATGTGTGTTACCGTGGAGATTTATGCTTTTTCCCCTCCCCCAGGCAGTGCTCACAGTTAGTTTCATATTGGCTAAAATTACTAATGAGTGTGCGTTCATCTTTATGTAGCTGGCAGTGGATTTGGTGTTGCTTGGAAAAAAACAAAACAAAACCCCCCCAGTTTCGTTGTGTGTAGACCAAATGTGGGTAGTTTTGTAATCTGGGATTTAGAAATATGGCCGAAATCACACCTGCATCTGCAGAATCTAGGCAAGAATGTTGTGAAACAGGTATTTAATGTGGTGTTTCTCTCTGGCACCAGTTATGTTGTGTTTTATGAATATTAAGTAATTTGCTATTCCTCTGATTTACAGACTGTGAGCCCGAAGGTGTTTCTGATTGGTCTTTTGATGAAAATTGTCTTTTCTGCTGCCTGAGAAGAGAAAAAGTGAAGGTAATAATGCAGCTGTGTCAAGCTAGTAGTTGTGGAGTGTGTTTTTGCTTCTCCCAGTGACCTAGGTGTATAGTTAGAGGAAGATTTGCAACTCCCCCTCCACCCCCTCTCTGCCCAGTTGCACTGGGGGAGCCCTCATGCATGTTCCTGCCCACTGCGTGTTGTCTTCTCTGTAACTTCCCTGCGTGTGCGGTGTGCAGTGCTGTGGGGTTTTGATGTTCGTGTGTGCGAGCCCTTCTCGGTCGGTCGGTCGGTCGGTCGGAGAGGACGTGTAGGGGAGAAGGGCGTGGGTTGCCCGGCCCTTTGGAGGGGAGGTTGAATGGTGGCGCGAGCGAGGGACTGCCTTCACCTGCAGGATAGAAACGCAGACCAGGGTGACTGCAGGTCACGGCAGACCATCTCGTTGTGCGTCTGGGCACCGATTGCCTTTGTGGGCCACGTCTCTGGAATGAGAGAGTGGTCTGCGCGGCAGATTTATTTTTTTCCGTGTTTCTGACCAGGTCCCGGCCTGCACGTGGACTAACCGTCCGTGTCCACGCAGGGTGCTGGCAAGCCTTTTGTAAGCATGTTGTAGCCGTGCTTGCAGCGTGGCTCAGCCTGCAGTTGCTGCTCACGCCATGTGTACACACACGGTTACTCTGTTGTGTAGGCAGGAAAGCTCATCTGTGTCGGTGAAACCTAGTTAGCTGGTCCTCCCTGCTCCCACTCCTTCCTGTGCGAAGCTTACCATGTACTGTAATACACCCTGTGGGCTGGCAACAGGTTCCCCCCAGCACTTGAGCGTTTGTAAAACCCTTTCCTCTTCAACAGCTATTGCTCAGGACAGTGTGGCTTGTGCTAAAAGGAAATGCTGCGCTGGTTTTTGCTGTTGGCTCCTGTCTGCCAGTAGCCTGGGTGCTCACTGCATATTGAGCTCCCATTTATTTTTGCATCAAGCTTTTTACTGAGGCTCTCGGAGGAAAAAAGCATCGATTCTGAGCAGATTTCAGAGAAAGGCACTTTGTTTTCCGGTCAGAGACCCTGGCCAGCACAGTGAGCTCTGAGACTCGTTTGTGTGTCTAGAGTAATGCTCTACAACTGTGGGCACTGGTGTCATCTCCTGGAAAAAAACTTCATGGAAAAAAATCCTCCTTGCTGCAGTTCCATGGAAGCCAGTGGATTTTACACCAGGAAAGCTGCTTGTCCCTGTGGTCCAGAGCTGGTGAGAGGCCAGGAGAGTCCACTGAGCTCTGGGGTGTTGAAGCCGCTGAGCTGAGCCTATTCGCACGTTGGAGAGAGGCTGGTGAAATTTGGGTTGGCTGTAAGCACACAGTGCTGCAGAAGTGAAGGTCGAAAAGGTCTCGGATTGCTAGGCGAAGGCTAAATTCGAGTCTGCAATATGGTGTTCAGATTGGGGACAATCCTCTGCTTCCTTTCAGGCTGTAAACAGCCATTTGTTGAAAGCTTGGATTTCCCTGCTGTGTTGTGAACACACCATGCTGGGTTTTGGTTTGGGGGGTTTTTCCCCCCGGTATCCACACCTTCCCGGCTGCGCAGAGTGCTTGGTGGCTGTGTAAAGCAGCGCGATGGAGCTCTTCAAGTGCTGAAGTTAACGTGCGGCAAAGGTTAGCTCTCTGGGGGGCATTGCTGTGCCCGTTGTGCCACGGGGTGTGTTTAAGCAGGTGAGGGAAGCACGTAAACAAGGCCGCACCTGGGCTCGGGGGGTGCTGTGGTCCGGTTGGTCAAAGCAGGTTTTTAGAGACGGGAACAGCGTTGTGGTGCAAACAAAAGGGGTTCGAGCGCTGCAGGGACTCGAGGCTGCAAAGCGTGGGCAGAGGAGAGTGAAGTTGAGTCTGGCTGGCGCGGCAGGGAGAGAGTTAACGGGGCTGAGTGGAGTGTCACTCGAGTGCTTTCTTTCCTCTCCTTCCCGTGGAGTCTGCAGTGTTTCCAACCAGGGCTGGCGTTCTTAGCGCGTGCTCCTTGCGAGGCGTTCTGCGGTGCAGTTACCGCTGCACAGTGGATTTGTTCAAGTAAAATCTCCCTGGAGATGAAATGGGCACAGTTTCCCCCAGGGCAGCGCACATACCTGCAGCCGACGGCCGTCAGCTGAATTGCGCATCGCAAGAGCTGCCTTTTAAATTCCCTCCTTGCAGCAAAGTTGTGGAACTGCGTCTTCACCTGCTCCCCTTCAGGGCGCTGCAGGCTGCCATCTCCGTGACTTCTGTCACTCGTCCGTGCCCTGCTTAGGGAAGCAGGATGTCGGCTGGCCCCAGCACTGTGCAATCCCAGCCCCTTCCCCTTCCCCCAGCAGGTCTGTTTGCTCGGTTTAGCCGCATCCACTGGAAGGGAGCTTGGGGCGCTTGGTGCTAGTCCCAGAAGACTAGAGCGGTGTCATTGGCATTGCAGCCTGGAGCACAATGGCAGCAGCCAGTTCTTCAGCGCTTCGTGGGTCTGGTCTCTACCCCTCTCCTTTCCCAATCCACCTTTGATGAATTGTCATTGCCACCAGTTTGGTCTGTGCAGCAAGTGGGGAAGCGAACTGGTGCCCTAGCCTCCCACCAGCAGTGGAACAAAAGTAAAAAGTAGCGCGTCTGTCTTTGTTGGCCCATAGCAGTCATCACATCACTTAGCTGGATCAGGAGAGTCGAGGTCTGGGTGGTCCTGATCAGAGCTCTGTCAAGGCAGCGCCTGCCCCACTCTGCTCTGGGAGGTGCAGTCGGCCGCTTGCTTTCACAGGCAATCAGATTCAATCGCATGCATTTTTAAAAGGGAAGAAGACCGTCTGCTTCCTAATTGAAGTATCCTACCAAGATTAATTTATTGGTAGCCATCCCTTTGAGTTGGAGGGTGGAGCACACTAAGCTAATGTGCCAATTATGTGATATTCAGAGGGGAATACCATTCAAGTGCAGCCTAGCTTCGATGCATTGGAGAAGGGGCTGAGATGGTGAAATGTAAAAATGGGTGGTTATGAAATACGCAGCTAGGAAGGAGCAGGCTGCTGGGAAAGGTCTTGTAAACTTCCGGGGTGCTCGCAACTTGCCAGACTCCATAGGGGTGCACCCGGCTTCTCTAGAGCGTGTTAAAACCAAGTTATCATAGGGCCTCCCTGGCATCAGGCACCAGCTTCGGTGGTCAGGAGAGCAGCGTTATAAAGAACTGCTGCCCCGGCTGTGTGCATGCACCCCACACATGCGCACGGGAGGATACGTGCCTTCGCACCCCAGCCTCCTCATCCTCGTTGGAGTAAATGCGCAGTGTTATCGTGTGTAATCCATCTTGGCTCATTCTTACTCGACAATCTGAAGACTTTCTCAAAACCGAGTGTTGTCCCCCACCACCTTCATAGCCTGGTTCTAGTAGAACGTGAGAGATGATTTCACAAGTCTTTCACTTCGAGGAATGGGTGCAGTGCAGTTTGCATTCAGACTTGCCAAATAGCTTATTCCACATCGATCACTTGTTTGCAAAAATTCAAAGTACGCTTGTCGAAGGCGGTATCCTTAATAATTGGGATCATTGGCTTACCTATGACTTAGAAATGTTTGATAATAAATGGTTGCAACACGACAGCACTGCTTGAGACTTTATTAAGAACATTTATTTAATGTGAAATTAGATCATTGTGCTTTGCTACTTTGGTTTTAATTAGAGTCTGACACCCAATTTGGGGCTGGATGCTTTTGAAGAAGATTGGAGCGAACTGAAGAGAGAGCACCCGAGCTGGGGGGAAGGGAAGCTTTGGAGAACAGGTCCTTGAAGAAAGCTCGAGCGCTGAGCCTTTGCGCTCTACAGCTACACAATGCAAGGAAATATATAAAAAGAGGAATTAATTATTCTCATTAGTGGGTGAGAGCAGAACAAGAAATGTAGGAAGCTAAAGTGTACTTTAAATAACTGGTGGAATATATAGCATAAACGTAGCGTGAAGGAGAAGAAGATGCTAAGGGAAGTTATCCCTTTGGCGGTGATAGGTGTAAAGGCCAGTCCTTGCCAGCTCCAGTAAAATGACCTTAATGCATGAAGGTGAACGAAATGGCAGCTCACTAGCAAGCCACACCAGCCTGGCAGATGCTTCCTAAAGCACTTATCTTATTCCAAATTGCCTGCCCATGAATGGCAGTCCCATCCCCTTCGCTTCAGGAATGATTTGGTCATCAGACTCTGTGGCTCTGAATGAACCTTGAGTCCTTGGTGGAAGAGCGCGCCCGAAGGCTGGTACTCCTAAAGCACTGCTGCTGTGGATCCCATCAGAGCATTCACTCCCAGAAGAATTTAAATTGGCAAATGAAACATCTGCAAATGAGTCCGAATCCTGGTTTTGATGCTCTGGAGCTCTGATAGTTGTGGTGGATTTGTAGTGCATTTTAGACAGTTTACTATGCCCTGCGTGCTTCAGGATTATTTCTGGATTTTAATTTTAAAAATACCTCTGGCCCCTGAACTGTCAATTCTTATATTGCTTGATTGTAAAGCAATCTGACATGGACAGATGTAAATCTGACAGAGTCGCTTGTGGTAGAACTGCCCGCTCAGGTCAGGAGAGATCCTAATAGTCCTGCGTTAGAAAATAAGAAGAGCCAGCTTGGGTCAGAGCAATGGTCCGTCTAGCTCGGTGTCCTGTCTCCAGTGTGGCAGAAGTGGATGCTATAGAGGGAGAGCACTGAACCGGATAGCTCTCGAGTGATCAATCCCCTTCCTGCCATCCACCTCGTGGTGTTTGAGAGATGCCAGAGGAAACCTCTCCAACTGCTCTGTTCAACAGCCATTAAATAGATCGAGCCTCCACAAATTAATCCAGTCCTTGCTGGACCTGGCTCTGCTCTCTGCCTCCACCACCTCCCGTGGCGATGAATTCTACGCGTTAATGACACGTTGCGTAAAGAAGTACTTTTTCTTTTTGGTTTGAAACCTGGTGCCTGCTCGTTTCAGTGGGTGCCCCCTTGTTCTGGTGGTCTGGGACTTGGTGAACAGCAGTTCCCTCTGCACGTGGTCCAGAAGAGGATTTTGGAGGCCTCTGTCATATCCTCTCGCGTTGTCTGCATTAACACAAATTAATATGAACATCCCGTACTTTTTGTTTAATTTTTAGTGTTGAATGCACTTAGTGCAAGACATTGAGTGTTCTTGGCCCAGTTAAGTCAGAGTGGTTTTGAATTTGGAAAACCATTTAATGTCATGCTGATGTAGTAAAGCCCTGGAACTGGCTGCCTAGGCAAGTTGTTCGATCTTCTTCATTGGAGACCGGATTAGACGAAACAGCTGTCAGGGAAGGTCTACTTATTCTTGATCCTGCCACTGTGTAGAAAGATGGTCTAAATCAGGGGTTGGCAATCTCCAGTCCACAAAGGGATTGTATATGGCCCACAGAGTTGGGATGCTGGTAACATTTGGCAGCATTAGGTGGCAGGCTGTAGCTGCAGTAGTCCAGGAATGACATGGAAAAGAAGGTTTAGTTGACCCGATAAAAGGTATTACCAAATGTCTACTTGAGACATGTTAGACCTGACCACTCCAGCCTGAACTGAAGGGCATTTTGTGGGCTAAAGCTTGTCTAACATCTCTCCCAAATGTGTAGTTGATCCAACAAAAGATATCACCAAACAAACTGTGCTTTTCCCATTAATATTTTGGAATATTGAAGAGGTGGGACCAAAATGGACTTTATATGTGCTGTGTTATATGCTATCACAAAGCAGATCTAACAGCGTGGTTGGTTGTTTTTTTTTCATGCTCTTCCTGTTTCAAAACTTCTACTAACTTCCATTGCCAGGCAGTGACATCTTGTGATTTTAACTTTTGCTGGCAGAATTTAGGACTTGGGAGGTTGAAAGGGTGGGATAAAAATGCTACTAGGAAGAAGCTGGTGGAAAGGCAAGTGAACTGATCAACTGTGCTAAATTTAGATAAAAAAGTACATTTTGCTCTGAAACGGTCGCACCCAACCTATCCAGAGTTCGTTAGGTCAGCTCATAAAGAGGCTGGAATAACGGTGGTTCTGTTAATTAAAAAGCAGGGAAATGAATAACTGAGCTGAGAAGGAATTTGTCTGACTTGATTTTTTGTGGTCCTGAAAATGCAAGGGAATTCTGCAGAATGTCTGGCAGTGCACAAGGCTTAAGTTGGTGCTCGTGTACACGATGTTTTCTGATCCTAAACTTACCCATGGATCCAGCCTGGAAAATATGTAAAGACCTTATTTACTTGGGACAGCTACCTGTTTTCCTTGCACTTCCATAGGGGTGAGACTGCAGCTCCCTTTTTCCTGAAACAAAGACCCAGGGGCCCTTTAATCAGAGGTCGTGGAAGGTCCCATGATCCCAGCATCTTCTGAACCATTCTTTGTCTCTGTAGAAAGCCTTTGTAGCCCCCTAGTAACTTGACGTTATCCAGAACAGGTTAGAAAAAGCTATTGTGGTTGTATTTAATGCCTCACCTGTATCTGAGTGATGTAAATTATAGTTGTTTTATGTCAGTGCACGCTGCCACTGAACTGTATTTCTGAAGAGAGACCTGCTAGGCTGCGTCACTGTTCTCTTTTAATGGTATTTGATGTTCCCTAATTGCCTGGAGGAACGTAATCAGGAAAACTGAACTGTTCTGTTTTGGTGCATTTTCAGTTTCCTGTAACTCTGATAATGGGCAAAATGTGGGATCACACTGACAGGGACGAAGCCCTCTTCACTTGTGAATAGCTGGCTGGGACCACGGGTGAGTCAGAGCTATGCCTTCCCCACCGGTCCTTGGGTTTGAGCCAGAGGATGCTAGGTAGCTCGAGCAGGAGCTGCATGGGTGAACCGCTGTGTATCATGCCGAAGAGCTTCCTCTTAAAGAGAAATGAAAAATCACCTGGTCTCCTCTGGGGCTAGGGACAGAAGTAATGCGTAAACCGGTATAAGTGATTGGAAACCGGTTCAAATCTGTAATGCGAAAGAAGTTCAGTGCACATAGACCACTTTCCAAATGGCCAAAACCAGTTTAAGATAAAGCGGGATGGACGTAGTATTAGACTGAGCTGATTTAGGTTAAATCGGTTTATTGCACATCTGTCCCAGATCCCTTCTGGATTCAAGTTAACTCACAGTCCACCAGGGTCCCAGGATGCTTTGCACCTCCCCACTCGCAGGGTGGATGGGCTAGCTGGCCTCGGCTGTCTGCTCCAGCCCAGCAGGCAGGTGTGCTGTAGCGCCCCCCGGCTTCTGGCGTGGGACCCTGCAGACGTGTGGCTGCATTCCCAGGGTCTAAAGTGAATGGCTGTTCACTTGCTTATCGGTTCAATCTCCGCAGCTTAGACTAACCTGTGAAGATTGAATCGATTCAGCCTCAGGCTTCTTGACTATGCGTACTTAGCCTACGTGTTCGCTGCATAGATACTGCAGTGAGAGGCGCTGTAGAAACGCGAAGATGAGATTCAATTCTGGTTTAATAGCATTTTTTGTGCAAAAACATTTTTCCCTTCTTTTTTTCTTCTTGGTTTTAAACACAAAAAGGCGATTGTTAGGCTGGGGTTGCTTTATTGTAACCCCTGTGATTCTCAACCAGGGTGCTGTGGCACCCCGGGGGGCCACAAGATCCTTTTAAGGGTGTCGTGGGCTGCCACACACTACCACTTAGCCCTGTTAAGTGCACAAACACCTACGTATGATTCATTGCATAAAACCAGGGATTTCGTATCCATAATGTGAAAAGCATTCTGCCCTGCTGTGTCTTTGAGTTATTAGGAGCAGAAGAATTGCTCTCTTGTTTTTTTCGTAGTCAAAAAGCGAGTGAAAGCGCAGAGCCGGCCTTTTCCGAGGAGCGCCCCGAGTCTGAAAGGCTTGAGAGCACTGTCTTAACGCACTCTTGCTTGAAAGACTGTTGATCCTTCGTAACCTGGGCTAACATTTTTCTCTACATGTTGTCGTTTTTTTCTCACCCTTCTTCAATCCTGCATTACACTTCGTAACGTGCAAAGATAAGGCACATCTGTCGGTGTTTTTTTAAGAAGGTCTCAATGAAAAATAATTTTCACATGGAGCGATATGTGGCAGGCTTATTTTTCCACATGAATTTTTGTTCGTGGTGAAATTCTGGTCAACGTTTTCACTTAAATGGGTGTGAAATGGTTTTATTCTCATGCATGTGTGTGTAGTGCCAGTAGTGTGCCAGGGGCTTTGCTGATAGGGCTCTGTCGCAGTGCGATTACAGTTCAGACGCACTTTTTAGTGGGTGTGATCTAAAAGCGATTTATCTGCAAGTGAGCTGGTATCTTCTTTTGTGGAGGCTGACCGGTCTGGGTTGTCTTCAGCTCAGAAGAAATGCTCCCTGCGCAGCTCTGCGTCCTTCGGAGATCCTCATCAGCGCGGTCGCGTACCTTTGTGGGGAACACCTAGGCCTACCTGCTCGTCTCCCCCTCCCCATTCCTTAAACCTTTGGCACACCCAATTTCTCTGGCTTGTAGGGTTTGTCAGTCTGGGAAAGTCACCTTTAATGGGAGAAAGTGCTGCATGTGAATATAGAAACATAAGGGCTCAACGCCTGCATGGCCAGAGTCCCCAGTAGTTCACGTGCCATGAGACATGATGTGTGGTCTGCTCTGCCTGGCCATCCGTTCTCTGGGCTGGTTATTCAGCACAGCTCTGTTATGCCTCCCAGAGACCACACGCGCCACAGATGTGCTGAAACCCCCTCTTCCCACGTCCTCTGTGAACAAGTGGGTTGCAGGTTATGTGTAGCTGGTGTCTTCTGGCAGCTGGGGCTGTGCAGATGTGGAGAAAACCCCCCAAATGGCTGGGAGGGGAGCAGGGGCAAGCTGATCTGTGGCTGTACGATGAGAATTGTAATCTGTGCACACAAGAAGTAGATGTGTGGCCACAGGTGAGGTTATTTTAGTACCGGGAGAGTAAGCTACAGGAACAATAAATTAGAAATGAGTTTTACCCTAGTGACGTTTTTTGTGCTGAAACGTTCTGGAAGTCAAACAGCTGCTTTCAGTTGTGTTGTGCGAGGACTTGAAAGAGCTTGTGGCTCTTCTGTTTGTTCTGATTATTGGTAATATTGTGAATCTACAAGACTACTCCATTTAAAAGTTGCTATTGTGAGTCTTGACAGCCTGGCGCTGCACATACATAGTCATTCAGCGCTCGCTCTGCATGGACACGGTGCAGTATGAGGGGGCGAGGTGCGATTCTCTTCTGTGTTCTGTCCTCAGCAGCTCTTTCATAGAAAATTAAAAGTGCTCAGTGAGGACCGTGTGTTCAAAAACCAGGTTCTTGGCCAAATGCAAGGTGAAACATTCAGCTTTTTCTCCTTCCTACGCAGCTCACATTTTCTATAGTGCTGTTAAACTTGAAAGAGGACTAAGAAGTCTATTTGGTTTTGCATTTAATATTTTAGCCTTGGTGACACATTGCATTTTGTGCTTTTATTTATCTGATACGGGTTTTGATGTAAACCTGAAGTATCAAGACAATTCTACTGGCTGTTGTAAAATGCTCATTGTGTACATACTTTTTAATTCTTTTTTTTTTTTTTTTAAAGCGATGCTAGCTGCATGTGATTGATTTATGTGGTGTGAGGAGGGGGAAAAAGATCTTACAAACATGTCATTAAATATTTTTGCAGGAACACTTAGTCAGTCTGGATGAGCCAGCTTCGGAAGCTGGGCAAGAAGCTCTGCTTAGACAAGAGCAAGCAAAAATCATTCGGTTCGAGAGGCAAGCGGAAGAGTTCCTCAATGCAGTCTTTTACAGAAAAGGTTGGTTTCGATGACCAGGCAGTGTCTCTATTCTGCCCTTTGCATGCAGCGCGGGTGTCGCAAAGATGAGCTCTTGAGCTTTAGGCATATGTACAGTCTTTTCAAATGTTTGTAGCCCTCTGACTTTGAAAGGGGCAGTGGTTGGATCTCTGAAGATGCAGTCATTTGCCCCATATCACGTGCGTGTGTGAGGGGGGGGAGAGGGGGCACCACCTCTGCTCTCAGAGAAGCACTTGGGTTTTTGCAGTGTTCAAGGCATGCCCAGCGGCGACGTCCCTCTGAGCCACTGCTGATTGAGTGGGGCATTCAGAGGCGTAGGAGAGGAGCAGAAGAAATGCTAGTTCGGGGGTCCATTCCCAAGCAGATTGCTTCTCCTGAGGGCAGCATTGTTAAACAGTGGTTCTCCAACTGCAGCTGTTGGTGACTTCCCGGTGCTTAGAGAACTGTGCGTTTGGGGTCTCAATACGATCAGTGGAATCAGAGCTGAAAAATCAGTGCAGCGAAACATCTGGAGGGTGACAGCAGCAGCCCAGCGCCGGAGAACCCTGCATAGCTCTGCGGTTGGAGGCGCGCAAGGTTTGCCGTCTTCCTTAGACCTGACGCTCACGCCAGCGCCCTCTGCCAACAGGGGAACAGGATTCTGTAGGTTGCCTCCAAACATGCCTCGGATAGAAGTGCCGTGTACTTATCAGCATAACCCATATGGGCAGAAATCTGCTAAGTCAATCATTCCAGCCTGGCTGTGGCTGGGGGGGCAGTGTAAGGCCTTCACTTTACAAATTAGAAATTGCTGTAGCCAAGCCTCCTCCTGTCCTTCCAGTGACCAAAATATTTAAAGGTGTTTTACATAGATAACAGTATTTTAGCACCTCCTTTATGACTAAAGATGAATAAGGATGAATTGTATACGATGATGTATTGCATAAGATACACAAGCATGTGGGGTGGTATGAGGGATAGTTATTGCCTTACTATAGTTACAGTTGAGATAACATTTTCATCCCAACTCCCCCCTTTTCCTCCCCCTTTTCAGCAGTTTTCTGTTTCCTTTAAAGGTAAAAATTGCCTTTTGGGTTTAAATTTCTCATGTTCCTTCTCAATCCAGAACGGATTTGTGTAGGGGGGCGAAAGCGTGTGCAGAAAATATGCTTTAACCCCTTCTGCATTAGCACAGTTGGAATTAATTGTTAGCCATATAGCAATGAAAGCCAATGTCTTTTCATCATTTACATTTTTGAAAGGTCCATTACTTTGGTGTAAGTAGCGTTGAATTGAAAGCTTCACACATGGCTGGTATGAAGGGCTGTATGAGGAATGAACCTCCTCCTAATTTTGGGAAAAGGCTTAGTGAACACAAATCAAGCATTAGCAAATGAAAGGTGTGCTGTGACTTTGCAAGGCACCTTTTTAAATAGATGCAAGACCCTGGAGTGTGGACATCCAAATAGACTGGTTAAGCAACGATCATTTAAACTAATTTCCTTTACATAGGGCTTAGTTTTCCTCTGCAGCCGAGCTGTGCTTGGCTCATGGTTAGGCCTGGAAGCTCCCCAGAAAGTCTGTTGTGGTTCCCTGTGCTGCTCTGCCAAGCTTTTGCTGCAGCTGGATTAATTGAGCAGCTGGTTTAATTGATGCCACTGCCATAGGATTGCTAGGGACCTCCACACCCCCAGAGAGTGGGAATGGCAGAGCTGCGAGACTCTTGGCCAGGACGGTGCTAGACAGCTGATGCTGACTTGGCTCCATTGGGTTTAAACCAGTCGGAGGAGTCTGCCTCTGGAAACAGACTTTGCCCCCAGTAACCTGGAGCCTTGGCACAATGGAGGATCCAGCCCATCCTCTGACTGTGTGTCTGCGATGGCATGCATCTTCATTTCTGTGGTGGGAGGCCGCACAGCTCGAAACGAGTAATGGCATAGTTTCCATACAGGTGCAGTAAGTTAATCCCACATATTTCCCCCAGCTGTGTGTCTGTAGCAGCCAGACTGGAGTTCTTTATCAAATATTCATGAAAACTCCAATAAACATAGAATATTTTTTGTCCCATGGTCCTCAGTTGTCAGTTCTTTTTATCCTGTGCCAGGACAGTCCCTCCTCCTATTGATCTAATGAAAACCAGACTAGTTTTTTCTTATTACTTTAAAACCTTTTCATTAAAAATAAAGTAGATGGAACGAGGGTATTAAGGTTTCACAGCTCACATGATTTGCTTTAGACCATTTATATAGAGTTGATAAATATCTGTAAAATGTTTCATTTCTAATTATTAGGTAGTGGAAGCCAAATGAAATGCCTGGTTGGTTTTAAGAGAGACTGCCAGGGTACGTTATTCCTAAACATTTAATACTCAATTGTTTGCAAAAATGCTCTGAATGGATCAGATGCTGTGTAAATGCTATGCATTTTATTTGTTAGCTGGATTTTTTTCAGGGCAGACATGAACAAATAGCTGAATCTAATTCCTCATCACGAGTTAGTAAGATTATTTTGAGCCACTTCACCTATGAATCATAGAGAAGCAGGGCTGGCAGGGACCTCCAGAGGTCATCTAGTCCAACCCCTGCCCAAGGCAGGATCAGCCCTGTCTAAACCGTCCCCGACTAATCCATTGTCCAACCTACAGTCAGCCCTGACAACACATCAAACCTGCCACAGGGAAAGCAGGGGGACCGCGGTGGGCAATGTCCTGCTGCTGCAAAGGTCGTTAAGAAATGCTTGAGAGATCCCAAGAGAAGGGCCCCCACTGCAGAGAAAGGCAGCCCCCCAAGTCTGTACCAGTTTGACCATGGGGTAAAATCCCTTCCTGACCCCAAATGCAGCATCAGTCTGAGCCTGAGCGTGGGGGCAAGACCCTCCAGCCAGGACCCTCCGGGGCTGAGTCCCAGCAGGAGCATTGGCACAGCCCAGTCTCCATCCCCAGCCAGGGCTGCAGCCAGTGCCCGCAAGCATGGGAAAGACCCATAGATGAAGATGGGCATAACTATGCCTAGGTCACCCCTGGCTACGGGCTACCCAACCTCTTTTCGAACCCCTCCAATGGTGGAGAGACCACATCTTCCCTGGTGTCTCTCCCATGGGCTCCCCGCTCTGGCAGCGAGGAGGTGTTTCCTGGTCTCCAACCTAAACCTGCTTTGTTGCAGCTTCGAGCCCTTGGTCTGCATCCTCCTCGCTGCAGCAGGAGTGAAGACGTGCCTTCCCTTTTCTTTATGGCAGCCCTGCAAGTATTGCAGACTGCTCTTATGTCCGCTCTTAAGCACCATTTCCAGAAGCTGAACAAGCCCAGCTCCGCCAGCCTCTCCTCGCAGGACTTGCCTTCCAAGTCCATTATCATTTTTGTTGCCTGTCTCTGGACTCTCCCTAAATTCTCCACGTCCTTCTTAAAACGTGACTGGAGAGCGAGGGTCTCCATAGCTCCAAGGGTAACTTTAGCTTTTTTTTTGACACATTTGACTTCTTTCCCTTTATTTATTGAGGAGATGGATCCCAACCACTGCCAGTGCCACAAGTCTGCCATGGGGGCTCCAAGAGCTTTGGTGGTCTTTGGCCCTTTCCTGCACACCCTTCAGCGTGCTGTCTGGGAAGATTTGAGAAGCGGGGAGGCTCTCACCCCAGCTGAGAAGAGCCTCTATGGCTGCTCTGTTACAGGCCTCGCTGGGCCTTTTTTATATATGAAATAGACCTACACTTTCAGGAGACGCATGAACGTTTGCTATCTTTATTGGACCAGCTTCCAGTTTGGGAATACAGAAGGTATTGCCAAACATATTTCCTCTGCCACTAGGGCTGCAGCAACACTATAATGACACTAAACTTTTACGTTCCTCTTAGCCTGTGGGCAAACTCGTGGTGTGCCCCGCACTCAGCAGTAGCAAACTGCCACTTCAGCGGAGGGCAGGCTCAGTGTACAGAAATGCATCAGACCTTTACATGCTCCATGGAGCAGTTTATGCTGTCGTAGCTGTGTACGATTACCAGCTGCAGCGGTGTAGTGCCTTTGACTTGCACAAATGAACTTCACAGGGAGGAAGATGGTGGTAGCATCTCTTTGCTTATTTAAAGTTAGCTTGGGGTTTGCTTTAGACACCGCCCTTAGAGAAGTGGAGGATACAGGGCCCTTGCTCTGCTTGTGACTTCACGTGCAAGCTCTCACACAGCTCCGCAGATGTCCGTGGCACTTCAGAGGCACATACAAAGGCCCTCTCTTGCTCCAGGAATCGATCGTAATTTAGTGCACAAGGTGACAAAAGGTAATGGGAGGAGCAAGTCTTTCAAACAGGCATGCCTTGAAATGTGCTGTGCATCACATTATCCACCTGCCCTTTGATCTAGGAGCCCCAACACATTGTGGCCTAGGCAGATCGCTAAAACAGGTTGCAGATATTAAGGGTGAAGCTCAGTCCTCTGATAACTACCCGTTCCCTGGCCAGATGAAGTGTAGGGAGGGGTCTGAGCAGCCGTGGCAGGACCCCTCTGAGATGGAGTGGCAAATCTGCTGCCATTGCACAGCACGCAATTAATGTATGTTATAAGGAGACGTTGTAAAATGGGTTGGTATTGCAGTGGTCCCCAGGCACCCCAGTCAGAATTAGGGCCTTGTTGCTAAAAGGCGTGAGGCTGTAAGATAGGGTATGGCTTCCCCCACGTACCACGGCAGCTATCTGGGGAGAGGTCTGCCGCAGGTAAGTTCCTCCATTGCTTTCAGGGAAATGTGCTGGGTTTTGGGAGTGATTTCTGCTCAAGATGGTTATGCACCGTGGGGTCTGGTGCCGTCCGTCCCTCCCCCCGCTCCCCAACCCTGCCAGGGGGTCAGTGCGATTGATGAACCACATTTAGGAAATACAGCCTGGTGTCAGTCACCTAGGAAGTCGTCATTCCCAGGGATTCTGGTAAAAATAGGAACCCGTTTGTCATGCAAGTGTCCTGAGAATAATGCTCGATTTCTTTTGCACCCTTGTGAAAGTGAAATCCAGTGTTTTGATTTGAAAGCTGTTTTTTCCTCGTAAAGTTTTGTTCTCCCCCCTAAAATCCAATCTCTGCTGTTTCCAGACAGTCCTAGGGTCTCTGACCCCAATATTCCCCTAGTGGCCCGTGAGATCATGCAGCGAATGATCCGGCAGTTTGCTGCTGAATATACCTCAAAAACTAGCTCTACTCAGGACTCCAGCCAGCCCAATAGCACAAAGAACCAAAGCCTGCTGAAAGCATCTCTGGTCGCCTCCTCTCCCACGGCTGCAACTGCTCAGAACCCCGTGCTCAGCAAACTTCTCATGGCTGACCAAGACTCGCCTCTGGACCTCACTGTCAGGAAGTCTCAGTCAGAACCTAGCGAACAAGGTAGGAGCCCGACCGCAGCGTCGCGCACCCCGTTGCAACGCGAGGCAAGCCAGGCTGCCGCCCGGGAGCAGAGAGCTAGGTGTGGGAAGCGCGGAGGACACGCAGCATGGCAGACGCGCCGCGTATAAGGGAGCGACGGGGGAGGCGGAAGGAGCAGAAAAGCCCGCGTGTCCGGCTCAGGAAGAGGTGGGGGGCAAGGGGGCGCGCGCCCGGCTAGCTGGGAGGTGAGCGTGCCGGTAAGACGGCAAGCTCCTGTCCACCCGCGTACACTGTGTGCATGTGTACGGTGTATGGTGGTGCATGCATACGGTGCGTTTGCGTGCTTGCTGTTGTGGCAGGATCTGATCCTCGGGGAGATTTCCTGGCAGCGTTGCCCTGTCTTGCTCTGACAGAACAATGGTTCTGAGGCCTGTGTTTTGTCTCGGTGTGTTTTAAAACGCTAGTTATTTGCTGGCAAATTGCTCGGCAAAGGCTGAGAGAGAGAGCGCCCTGGAATTACACAATGGTTTCCTTGTTTGTATATTTAGTAGAAATTTCTTTCTTGCACGTTAAAAATTGCCACGCTCTGCAGAGCACGCAGTAAAGTGCTGCCGAGCTCGCGTCAAATGGAAAACCTTGCTTTCCATCAACTGCTTTTAAAGACGCAGATTCAGGGAGTAGCATTGTGGCAGCTGAGCATGTTGTTTTTCTTCCCTGAAACTGTTTTGCACAGAGGGGATCATCAGCGTGGTTGAATTCTGAGGGGCTTTTAACAGGCTGATATACAGTTGAGAGTTAACCCTTTGCCCTTTGTGAGAATCTGTTATTAAAAGGCGTCTGAAACGATCGCAGCAGAAATAGGAAAGGCTCCTGCACCCCCGAGTGGGAAATCATTGTCTTCCATGCATGCACCTACTAAAAAGGATTATGTTTTAAAGCTCAGTGCTATTTTTATGTTTAACTAATGATGGGTATTTCGAGCATCTTTTATTCTATTTAATCCTCGGTGGTGGAGGTACGTTTATGGAGGTTTCGGTAAGGAAGTTAACAAGAATTTGCTGCATGGAAACAGCCCCGTGGACGCGTGCCAGCCATGTCTCTGGCTGCCTCCTTCGGAAGCTAAACTGGATGCCGCAGGCAGCCGCTGTAGTGAAAGTTGTGGTGTCGACACCCTGTCCGTACCCTCCAGGAGGTCTGGGCTGGGAAGATGGCGAGGTTAGAGGTTGTCGTGCAGCCAAGAGGAGTGGATTTCTGGTTGGGACTTGATACGGGAATCTCATTCCCATGCATGGATTTTTTTTAACCAAATTTTAAGGAAAATTATTGACCTCTTTGGATCATTACAAAGTCTTTCCCCCCACAAAGAGATTTTTAGAGGGTCTTTTTTGTTTTCTATCCTTTTTAATGATGAAATTGTGTGCTCAAAAACCATATGTGTATCAACAGCTTGTTGAGGACCTGGATTCATTGCTTTTGGCCTGTGCTCTTGAACGGACAAGACATGGAAAACCTTTATCCATGCTCATAACACTCTCACCTAGTCTGTGCATGTGCTATTTCCATAAGAGAGGCAAGGATTTTTTGGGGTGATATCTCTTATTGGACTACGAATATAGTTGGGATAAAGTTAGACAAGCTTTCAACTGCTAAGCTTTCTTCTTCAGGTCATCACTCTCTAACACTGCTAATTCCATAATTACTTATACAATAATGTGATTAGTCCATGTAATTACGCTTTACAGTTTACATTAATACTTGACGAATAATGAATGTGGCAGGCCCTCCCCCCACACAAACCCGGTCTTAATGCCGTGTTTAACAGGCTCTCTCGGAGCTACTGCAGCGGTGCCATTTCGGTGTGTACCTTTGTACATCTCCCCTGGGGCCGAGGAAGAGGAGCACTCGACAGCATCCTTGCTTGCTCTCAGCGCCCACGTCATGGTAATCCTCCTTGCAGAGGAAGGATGAATGTGGCTTCCTTCAATGTTAGGAGTCAGCGCTGCTTAGTGTCTTTTCCTGAGAAGCAAGCACTGCCCTGAAGAGTTGCTTGTCTCTTCGGCCACGCCCGGGTGAGAACTAGAAGTCCCTGCTTACTTGTGTTTGGACTGTAAAGCTTTTCCAAGCGCAGAGGGTGGGACGCCCTGCCCTGCAAGGCTGGCTTCAGCTTAATTTTTCTTGTTTTCCATATGCCACGAGAGAAGTTTGAGCAATCTGAGACCATCTCTGCATTCTTCATGTATTGCTCATGGACCTAAGAGTTGATGCTTACTCGAGCTATAGGTAGTTGGGCAAGTAGCTCTGGTAAGTCCCTCATCACCTGGTCCACAAGCCTCGCTTTTCAGGGCTGGCAATCCTCTTGGAGAGCCGAGCTGCTTTTAAAGAAGGCTGCTTGTGTTAAAGATGGCTGTAGTCCTGCTGTTTCTGGCAGGTTGGAGGCCTGGCTTTCCTAAGCAAAGATGACCTGCCCCACTCGGGGCGGTCTGGAAACTGGAGCAGAAACTCCAAGGTGTAAGTAAGTGTAGACGTGAAGTGGAGCGATAGAAGGGGACTGATTGCAGGGACAGGGGAATGTGGAGAATTCGGTAAAAGAAATTGGAGAAAAGCTTCCTTAATGCTAGAGCAGCAAGGCAGAGGGACGGTCTTTCCCGGGAAGCTGTGGCATGCCCTTCACTGGAGGGGTGGAAGAGGAGCCTGGGGCAGACGGGACAGAGCAGCACTTGAGGTTCTTCCCAGCCCTGCGACTCTGCTTCCAGGGACGTGGAGGATAAGGAGAGTGAAGTCCCTGGGAGGCTTCATGGGGGCCAGGGGGAGAGCGGTGCAGGTGCTTTCCCAGCTGGCAGGCCGAGGCCTGTGTTCCTGGCTGGCACTGGAGACTGAATTTCCACCCCAAATGGCCCCATTCACACCCCTCCACGGGCTCAGAAACGAAGCAGGCCTCAAAGCAATGAATTCCAGGCCTAGCCTCAGGATTTGTTTTTCTCTAAATGTAGTAGCTGGTCCTATGGGTTAGCGTTGCTGTCGCCTGGGTCTCAGTCCTGACCGGTTCACCTCCCCTGGCAGTGTCTTCCTGGGCTTCTGACCCGCAGCGCCTTTGGGGTGTGAACGGAAAAGCAGCCGTACCAGTTAGTCCCCAAAGAAGGTGGTTTCAGCTGCTCCTGCTCCTTCCTGCGCTCAAGTGATCCTTTTCTCTCCACAGACGGAGTGCTTGATCTGTCCACCAAGAAGAGCCCTTGTGCCGGCAGCGCCTCCCTGAGCCATTCCCCAGGCTGCTCCACTACTCCAGGGAACGGGTAAGGGAAAGCAGTGTTTGTGTTTTAATAATCCATTCGAGGGGATTTAGCACAAATGTGTACCTTTTGCCTCCCGGTAGCTCTCACTGATTGATCTTGGTTTAACCCTTTGGAGTAATGAGCATTTTAATGTGGGCCTTTGCCCCCCTCCCCACCCTCCAAATCCCCCCCACAACCTTCCTCCCACCTGCCAAATAAAAGCTGATTGTAAAACAGGACTTCAAGAAAAAAAAGTGTTAGAATTCAATACTTTTCTTTTGGCCAGTTTACTCCGAGAGCAGGTTTCCCTTTACTTTCTTCTTGGACTCAGTGACTAGCAGCGTGCGTAGGTGCGCGTAGCATGTGCAGATGCTGGTTTTGAGAGGCAGCGCTACAGAAGGCCTGGTAGCTTCCGGCTCGTCAGCGGTATAGTCGATACGATAGCAGGAAGTCGATTTGTAAGCTCTCTATAGCATGAAGCCCGTTTAAAAGAGGAAATCGCAGCATTTTTACCACAATTAGTTCAGGGTACCAGAGAATATTCTATCAGCAAACTTGCTTCGAGGCTCCAGATTTATGATTATAGCTGCACCTGCCTCCTGGCTCTGTGACCTCGGATGGGAACGAGGCGTTTGGACCGGAGGGGACAGGCTGGAAGTAAAGGGGCTCTGCGTGTTGACGAAGATGTTACCGCGATACCTCACTATAAGCGGAGAAGGCTTGACTAATGGAGTGCAGTAATAAGTCTTTTAGGTAGTTTACCTCAAAATATCTAATTCTTGGGTTTGACTTTACACTAAAGTCTTTTGCAAGTTGTTGGATTTTTAACAGCTAAAAACTTAGTACTGGCAACCATTGACTTGACTAACCTACACTATATTTTTTGATCCAGATTTGCAATGGCATTATTTCAGGACCTATTGCCAGGCAGTAAAAGCTGCAATCTCAAGTATTTGCTTGTGCAGTCCCCTGCATTGAGGACCCCCCCCGCCCACACCTCTAAAAGAAACCTCCCCCAACCAGTTCTTCAGTATTTCAATCCAGAAAAGGTTATTTCCATCTCTGTTTTCTTGCTACCGAGGCAGCAGAAGCCCCTGCGGCTCAGTTGTCTGCTTCCTTGTTTGTGTGTTAAGGTGGGGAAGGACATGTGGAGACCACAGGTCCCAGCAGCTGATGCTCTGTCTGAGTCAGAGCCGTTGGGGTCCAGAAATGCTGCATTCCCCGCACCTAGGACCCATCCGAGGTGCCTGCACAGGTGTGTTGCAGGTGAGGGCGACCGCAGTCTGCTCCGTCTGACACGAATTAGGGGTGGCGCTCTGTGCCCCTGCAAGCTGCCAACGCGATCTTAGGTTTGGTAACATTTGGGGCAGTGTCCTAGTGCACCGTGTTCCCCGCTGGCTCTGTAGCACAGCGTTGATCTGAAGAGCCAGTGGCAGTGCGAGCTGTGCCTCATGCCGTTCTTTGGGACGGATGGATTTTGTTCAGCATCCATGTGGACTCGTGTTAGCCAGTTACAGCTTTTAAGCCACGTCCAGTTCTGGAGGGAGGTTAGTGAGCACTGCAGGCGCTACAGACAGCAGCCAAGGGCCTAATGTAAGCGCTCCAGAAGCGCAGCGTAGCTTTCCTGCGGTGCTTTCCTCTCCTTGAAAAGCCTCACCTGATCTGAAACGGGATGGCTTCAGACCTCATCCTCTCCCTGAGCTTCAAAATGCAATTGCTTCCCTCTGACGTGCTTTCCAGTCTCCTCCTTTACATGACTGCGTGTCTGGAACGTGGAAAGAACTGAGGGTTTTGATCCTTTAGCCTGCTTCGCTTCTGATCGGTGGCATATTTAGATGGCTAAAACTAGCCTTGATAAGCAAAATATTTTAAAAAATGAGTGTTTCCTTGCTACGAGAACACCCTTTGAAAGCAAGTCGTGTGAAACGCAAACAAGTACTTCTAAAGATTAAAAACCCACTGATTTTTCCTGTTACTAACCCTGGATATGGACTAAACTTTGTAGAGTTGGAACCCGAATAACGGTTCTGGAGGTAAGAAGGAACCGTTTCTTTTAGCCTCGGTGTATCTCAAACCGACTCGGGGATGCGCGTCTGCGATTAGTTGTATTTAAAAGGAAGAAGTGGGGTAAGTTCAGGTTAGTGCACGGCAGCGTGTCTGTGTGTGATCTGCCGCATCCCAGCTCGTACGCTGAGCGTACAACATGTACACGCCTTTGAGTCCCGTTAAGCCTTTTGGTCCTGGGCAGCAACTCTTGCATGCGGTGTATCCAAACAAGGCCCAGGTCCCCCCCGGGGGTACGCGCTGCAAGCGGCAGTCCCGTTTGTGTCGATCATGTCGCATTGTGTATCACTTGGCTTACTCTTTTATTACTGTGCTTGTTTAGTGGTAACGTCACACTAGTAACACAGTCGTGTATAGATCTATGGAGACTGACTATTACTTTGTAATTTATAATTAAGGTGCTATTTTCAGGCGCTTGCGCGAAGCCTTTTCTGCTCCGAGAATTTGTGAACCCAACCAGAGACCAGCCACGAGGTTTCCTTTTTCTTTGCCCAAAAAGCTTCTCTTTTTTTTGCGAACAAGGTTTTTTTTTGGTTTTTTTTTTTTTAAATGACTGATGCTGAGACTTTAAATAAATAAATAAATAAATAAATAAATAAATAAAATCTAAAAAAAATTAGAGAAAAAAAATAAATAACACAAAAAGTGATGTTACCCAAGCAAGGCCTTCTAATAAAGGAGTGGCCCTCTCACCCATCCCTCCCTACCTGTGCAAGTTCTGCTCACATCAGTTTCCTTCCATCCAATTAGGCGACCTGGGAGACCCAGCCAGCACCATCCAGAGGGACACCGGAGTGGTGATGGGGTACCTCCAAGAAGCTTGCAGGATGGCACCAGGGAAGGTTATAGCCACTCCACAGCTCTTAAAGTGCCGCTGGCTCGATCACTGCAGATTAGCGAAGAGCTGCTGAGCAGAAACCAGTTTTCTACCGCTGCCAGCCATGGGCCATCTGGACTGCAGAATCATGGACAGCACTTAATATTATCCAGGGAGGCTTCTTGGGCAAAACCACACTACGAATTCAATTTCAGCCGCATGAAATTCAGGGGAAATGGTGCACTCAGCAACATCAGTGACCTTCCTTTTCTTACAGAAAACTCTGCCTTTCAAAAAATGGCACTTCAAACTAAACAGGATGGGAAAAAGGACATGAGCCATTCGTCTCCTGTGGATTTAAAGATACCACAAGTTCGAGGCATGGACCTTTCATGGGAGTCCCGCACTGGCGACCAGTACAGCTATAGCTCTTTGGTAATGGGTTCACAAACGGAGAGCGCGCTTAGTAAAAAGTTAAGGGCTATTCTTCCGAAGCAAAACAGGAGAAATTTGCTGGAAGCTGGACCAGATTCCTGGGGCTCAGATGCTGAGCAGTCTACCTCTGGACAGCCATATCCCACCTCCGATCAAGAGGGAGATCCTGGCTCCAAGCAACCTAGGAAGAAAAGAGGGAGATACAGACAATACAACAGCGAGATCCTGGAGGAAGCAATCTCTGTGGTTATGAGCGGGAAAATGAGCGTTTCGAAAGCTCAGAGTATTTATGGGATTCCCCACAGTACACTGGAGTACAAAGTTAAAGAGAGGCTGGGCACTTTGAAAAACCCTCCAAAGAAAAAAATGAAATTAATGAGGTCGGAGGGGCAGGAGGTTTCGGTAAAGATTGAATTAGATCCCCAGGGAGAAGCAGCACAAAGTGCAAATGAATCAAAAGATGAGTAGGGAGGCTGTAGAGTGCCAATTACTTTACAAACTGGGTGAGCACTACTGCATTGTTCAACCACCGCCGAGTGCACCTCATTCCTCTCTGCCGCCTAGCGTAGATTTGTGTGGACACAGGTGAAAGGTGTGCTCTGAATGTCGCATATTTGTAAATTTTCTAGCCTGGTCTGGCTCAGAATCTGCCCCCACCTTTTCTTTCTTTCTCTCTTTTTCTTTCCCCTTTTTTTGCCTTTGCATGTTTCTCTACTGTTCTAGAGAACTGAGTTACCTCACTAAAGAGCGCAGACATGTGGAAGTGGACTCCTTACCTGTAGAGCCTGCCTGTACTTTTGTTGTTTGAATTCTTTTTTCCATGTTTGCCTTTCAAAAAGCAAGTCCACTTCGTTAAACCGATTCACTCGTATACCAGGCTTTTTTGAATGAGAATCAGACTGTCATTTTGTAATTCAGAATGCCTCACATTCTCCAGAAACATTTTTTTTTTCTTCTTCTTCTTCTTCTTTCTTTCATCGAGTTGATTGAAGGATTAAGGTAAATCAAGCTCTTTGAGGAATGGCAGAGCTCTTGAACTTGGAGATTGGTTATTAGATAGGTAATCAATCGGGTCTAATTAGGCTTTCTGCCATTTTCTTTCTAAATTCAATTTATGTACCATTAGCAATCTGCTTAGTGCTCACCCGGAGGGGCGGGGAGGGGAAACTACATACACTACCTTCAGAAATACTTCGGTTAATGACGTAGTAACACTACCTTCACTGTAATTTTGTTTGATACTTTCTAAGGGTGAGATTTAGACTCACCTGTTTGAGGATGTAGCCTTATCTCACGGAAGACGAGCTCCTCGTGGTCAGGAGTGGTCAGGGTACACTAAATGATGTATTAGGGTATGCCTCATTTTAACAGAACTGTGGTTCTTTGCAACCTATATACTTTTTACAGGCGTGATTCAGAGTTTACTAAACGGTGTGGTTCCAACAACTAGTTTAAGCAACTCTAATCGGGGAGAGGGGGGTACGTGGAACAAATTACTGTGATCTTGCAAAAAACAAAAAAACCACAAAAAAAACCCACAACAAACCCGTGATCTCATAAACACGACAACCTCAATAGTCTGCCCAAATATCCATGCTAATGAAGGAGCTGTGTTAATGTTCAGGGAAGAAATAAAACACGCAGGTAGCCTGACCGGATTTGGGCTCCACATCATATCTAGCTGTAACACTGTCAGGGTCGAACACCCAATGGGTGTTTCCTTTTTAAATACTACAGTTGCCAGTAGCAGGAAATACTCTCGTATATCCTGCATATATATATATATATATAATTTTTTATTTTTTTTTTTGGTTTTTTGGGGTTTCTTTTGTTTTACCTACTGTTGGTTTAATAGTGGTTTAGTGCAGCACGCTAGCCTAAGCAGATAAACATCATATAAGCACTCCGTACACCACAAATCCACTCTTTTCCACGACAGTGATATTTTCATCCTTCTCTAGATCCAGGATAAGTTTTGTACAGAACTTTGGTCTTTGATGCTTTCTGCAGGAGTGGTCAATAGCTCGATACAGCTTACTGGACTTACTACAGTTTGACCAAATCAGAATGGCTGGTTCTTCAGGTAGAAACGATTTGCTCTGAATTTCAATCTGTGCAAAAGGTTGCTAGGACTGCCATTGTCCTAGTTGCACGACCAAAAGAAGCGTTGGGATTTGTGTGTGTGAGAGCATTAAGCGCTGTTGGTGATTGAAAGCGGATGCTCAAAGTTCACTGGAGGACGACGTAGATAGCCCCAGGGCTGCTGAATAAATTCTGGAGCGGTTAATTCAATTAGCCTTTTTGTTTTAGATATCTATCTACCTATCTATCTATCTAGCTATCTATATATATATATACATATATATATATATATATATATATATCTTTTCCAGCAACCTATTATGTTCAGAGGTTAGGCACACCATTGCTGTCATTTTAAATATGCACTGCTCATTCTTGAGAAGGACTGGGCTCTTGGCCCAAGTATGCTGTGTTTTTCTTTACTTACTCTATTTCAACACTTGAAAGCCTGGTTCCTCTTAGCTCTCTAGCTGTCGCGGCCGCATTTAAAGCAGTTTTCCGTTTGGTAGCTAGACTCTGCAGCGTGTTCCAGTGTCGCTGGGGATTGCAATAAAGGTGCAGTGAAATGCGTGGTGGGTTCATCGGTGGTTGAAGGTGAGGGCGGTAGGTTTTGCTGCAAGCTAGAAGTGCAACACTTGCATAATGCTGTTCGGAGAGGTTTAACCTTTTGGCAGTTGTCTTTATTTAAGTGAGGTATGAGTTGAGTTTTATAAAACTTGTCCTTATAGTGTACGGTGGAGTGATCATTTTACTAACGTGACTATTTTGTACGTGTATGGTTAAGTGGATGACAATCGTGCAGCAGAAGAATGGTGTGCCTACCCTTGAATGCTGCAGTTCAAAAAGAGAACTTGTCTTGTGTCATTTCCGACTGTAGGCTAAGGCTTGTAAATAGACAGTGAAAAGTTGAGTACTCTTTTTATTATTTGCTTTGGTTAGAAAGTGAATTTAAAAAAACAAACCAAACACTTAACTTTCTCAGATAAACGTCCTGAGACCTGAAGATTGTAATACTCATGTCTGCGAAGCTTTTAAATGTTAACACTTGAGATCTGTGAGAACTTAATATTCAGGTAATCTTTCTTTCCCGAGAAGCTTTTGAACAACCATATTTCCTCCAAAGGTCTCTGTTTAAAAAGAAAAAAAAAGAGAAAAAAAAAAAGTGTAGATTATTTTTTAAGCACTAATTGCATTACGTTGGTAACTGCAATATAAAATAGCCATTATTGTTTTGTGAAGCATGGTTGAGATTCGTTAGTGGTCCCTTTTTAAAATTTCATGAGCCTCTCAAAAAAATAAAAACAAATTAAAAAAAAAAAAAGCTGCTGAATATTCGAAAGATATATATTTTACCTTATTGTAGGGTTTGTAAATTTAGTCTGTAATATTCAGGTGCACCTTTTAATGTTAAATCTTTGTTTCAAAGTCCATCGAACGTATTTTCTCCGCGGTGATTCATCCCGTGACTGGTCTCGCTCCAGGTGCTGCAGTGATTACTGATGTTTGGTTTCTTTCGTTCACGACGCATTCTCGACAGGCGCTTTCAGTGTAGCCGTGCACGTAGTATTTGGGATCCTTTTGAATAGATAATTGGAAGTAATGTTTGTCCATTAGCATGCTTAATTTTCTGCTGACCGGCAGTTTGCGTGGCCAGACCCCCCAGTCGAGTGTATGCTGCGGTGGGAAGGTTGCGGCTCACAGCCGTCTGTGTAACAAAAGCCTCGTTTCTCAAGTTATTACCGGTAAGTGGACGCTTGCTACTTGGGCCCGTTGGACAGGAGACAGGGTGGAAACCTCGTCCCTCTTCCTGTTCTCGGGAGCAGGCGGCCCGGCCCGTCCGGCGTTCCCAGGTGCTCGTGTTCACTCCTTCCTGAGGGTGCCCATCAGCTGTGGTCATTGGATTCAGCAGTATTGTTGTGTGCTCCGTTGATGTTGTTGGAAAAGGCTGACACCAAGAAACTGTGAATCAAATACTTGTGGCAGTCTCTGGGTTTTTCAGTCCAGGTATCACGAAGGAGAATCCCTCTCCCTGGCTCCCGGCCTAGAAAAGTGAGTTCCTTATTTTGTGTGTACACAGTTCGAAGAATCAAGTTGCATATCGTGCCGAAGTTTAGATGTGGCTCGGTCAAGCTTTGCTGCAGCATGTCGCTGAAGACGAGTCGGGTCCTGATGTGGAGTTGGTTGTCGTACAGTTCAACACGTGTGAAGTGTAGCGGATTTTATTTGGACCTGTGAAACGTGAGAGTGCTTTGTTAGTGCCCCGGCAAGTCCGCGACCGTTGTTACCTCGCTTTCAGCCAGCTGGATCCTCCTCCCACTACGTTGTAATAAGCAGCCTTACCTTGGCCATGGCACTCGAGCACAGCCGGAAAGGGTCGCACGCTCCAGCTGGGTGTTGCAGAGGCAGGGAGCATTTGGGCTAGATGGTTTCTGTCGGGAGATCCCCAGAAGTGTTCCTACCCTAAATTTTCCTGAAACGGGTTTCACGAAAGACGCACACTCGTTGCCTCTCGCTCAGTAACGCGTTCGGCCTCTCCAGTCGTATCAGGAGCTTGTCTTTGCGGTTCTTGCCCAAGCTGCTGCGAGGACGCTCCGGGCGCACGAGAGGCAGCCGCGCGTGGCCGTTCAGATCGGTTGGGGCCAGGCGGAGGACGAGTTGTGCCATTTGTGGCAGACCCGCGTTTGCAAGAGTCGGAGCGTTTCCTTCGTGGAGATGCTGAAAAGCGCATTGCCTTCCCGCAGGAATTGGTTAGGGTTTTGCGAAGCTACCTGGGAAGCCGTGCACTAGGCTTGGGGCAGACTGAACGGCAGAGTTCGGGTCAGATCCAGCGGCGTTGTGCTCGCTGGACATGATGGTCGTGCCGGTGACAGGTGGAATGAATGCACGTTCCCAGCTGCGTCTCTTCGGTCGGCGTAGGTTTTAGTCTCTCTTCTGGGCTGTCCTTGAGCTTTCGGGGGCGGGTGGGGGAGATCGTTGAATGCATTCCTGGAGCGAAGGGAAATGCTGTGCAGTTCCCTTGTCTAGGCCCAGAGCAGTGCTGCTCTGATCCAGAAAATGGAGAGTTTTTGTTCTAATGAAGACGGGATTGGGACTCTTCATCCTCGGGAGGCGTACGCCAGCTCCGGCTCCAAACCTGATGAAGGAGAATTTTTTTTATGCTGTACAGAAAGCTTTATTTGTCACGGTGATTTTTGTCTTAAATTCTCTGCCAAAACAGGAAGGTAGCACAGGGAGGGTTGTGTTCCCTACGCTTTGGTGAGGCTTGGGGGGATCTTGGTTTTCCCCACAGAGAAGCTTCAGCGACGAGACGCGGGCCGGTTGATATCCTGTCGATCGATAGGAGCACACAAGCTACATCTGCAGGATTCCCTTTCCGGGATGGGTTTGGCTCCTGTCAAGGTTTTCGGGTCCTTTTGAAGCGTATTCAGAACTCTAAATTAGATCCTGCAGAAACCTGAAAGTATGCACTGCTAGTTAGTTGTGGTTCTTTTGGATGTAGCAAATATTATAATCACTAGATTTACTCTTTCTTAAGTATGTAATATATACACATTTCATCATATCTCAATCACTAAACAGAGATGTTATCCACTCAAACAAACCGATCCACAGGTACACTCCACATATACCAAAAAAGCCCCGTGAGCAGTCGCATGTACACATCCCACCGCTCACCTCGCTCACGGATCCTTGGGTTTGACTAGGGCAAGACTCGTATACCAGTATTACAGCAGTCATGGATTTCGTGTCCTGCAAAATTACACCCGTACTCAGGTAATCTCCTGGAAACCTTCAATTTAAGATAGCCTTATATAATCCTCATGAAACTTTACGAGCCCAGTTGCAAGCTCTGGTTTCTCACCCTTATTACGGTGGCGAAGGACTTTTACAAATTTTGCCCGGAATATTTCATTGTCTTTTACAAAACATGCCTCGCTTGTCCCTAACGAGCGAGTGATGGAATTTTGCAAGGCTCTAAGTAATTATCTTTGCAAATACATCGGTCTCGGCGGGCGCGATGGGAGCTTGAACAGGGACGTGGACAGATGCGTCGGAAGAGAATTTTAGTGGTCGCTAACCAGATCAAATCTGACCGAGAGTCTCTTTTTTCTACCCCAAAAAACAAAGACATCACAACTGCTACAGCTCTTACTCGTTCTATCAAATAACCGGTGCTACATTTCTCAAAGATTTTTGAAGATCGTTTTTATGCACGCGAGAGCGTGCGCGGTCAACTTGCCTGTCGCCATCAAAGCGCGGCTGACCCGTGGTAAATTACCAGAAAAGGGAGAATTTTAGCACTTTTTCTGTTAACAGCACTAGAGTCTTAATTTATCTGGTCTTCAGAGTCTTGGATACTGCAAGTGTTACAGCCTGAGATCATTATTAACCACTTTTCTGGTCAGATCACAAGTTCTCTTGAGAGATGAATCTGTCTTGTAAAGAAGACTACAATATTTTATAACGTTCAGGCAGCGGGCGTGCAGATGCCTGATGTTTGAAGGAAACATTTCAAAAGACCATTTCAGGGCTTGAAGTTTGGAATCGGGGATGGTGGGGAGGGAGGAGGGAAGTTTCCCAAAATGAAACATCATTTTAGGCCATTGTTTAGTGTTCATTTTGACAAATATATCACTAGGAAAATGGGTAGGGATTCTTTCTCCCTTATGCCTTCAGGGAATGAGCAGTATTTGGCTGAAATTCAAGCCTTTTTACCATGTAAATTTTTAATATAAACTCACTGACATGCTTTTTACATCAGAGGACTGAAAATGGATCTTAATGTTTAAGTTGCGGAACGGTATATTTCTTAACCGAAGGGGGAACGTTAAAAGAAAAAAAAAAAAACCCTAACTAGATTAGAATACCAGCATTAGTGAGCTTAAGGAATTTTAGTATGTAATAGCAAAGTATAGCAAAGTATTTGATTAAAAAACCTAATCTTGAACTGCTAGTCTGTAACTAGGTGCATTCTAATTTAGCAGGTGAATATTCTTTACTTATTGATATATGATGGGCTTTTTGCAAATAGAAACCTTTATCTGAGTCCCAGGTGTTGCTTGTCCGGATGGGATGTATGCTTACAGCAGCTTACTGCTGCTTTAAAAATGTATAAAATATGTTTTGAGTGTTTGCTCATAACTCTTTCTAACCTCCACTCGTTCAGTCGTCAGGCGTTGGTATTTTATCAGTCCGCAATGTAAGTTGAACTAATGTTCTTAGGAATCCAACTTGTACACACACTGTTTAAAAACCCTCAGGGACAGTTTACACACTATCCTCACTCAATTCAGGTACTTGTACTCTATTCTTAAACCTAGCAGTGACTTGTATTTTGTTTTGCTTTTCTTTTGACGTGCTGATAGCACATCCTTGATGAATGTCAACTTTAAAACTCAGTTCAGGTATCCAGGTATAACTCAGCCAAACGGATTTTAAAGCTGCATATTACTCTCCAGCACACAGTGCCTCAGACACTTATAGTGGCATTCTGTATATTCAGTTATTACTACTGAGCAGATCGTATGGGGGTTCCTGTTAGTATTGTATTGTAAGAAAATTCTATATATATTATATAATATGTATTATATTATATACATATATATCATAGATGTAATCGTAAACGTATATATTTTCAAATGCCACTACTAGCCAGCGCAGCTAAACCGAAATACATTCCCGACTGCTTCTGCTCGCTGTCCGGAGGCAGTTCCTTAACGTGGCTCTTGCTTCTTTCCCCCTCGCTACTACTAAATTCAAGCACTGGTCCTTGGGTGTCTGACCTCCACATTCTAGTTATGCAATGTCTTTAGAGAATTCTGTGCACTGGCCACTGTGATGGAAACCAATGGGCCGGGCGTGCTTTGAGTTTATTAGTAGCCCTTCTGCCAAAGTTGGTGTCCGTGCGACCAGCGTGTAAACCCCTCGGCTAATCGGCAGAGGTGCGAGGCGGCGCCGGCGGTCTGCGGCATCGCTCCCACGTGTTCGGGAAGACGCGGGGGTCTCGCGTGCGTAGCGCCGGGCCTGCCCGCCGCGCTGCCGGGCGGCAAACCGCCGAAATCAAACCTGCCGCGACACCTCTGCTGTATTATCCGACATTTTACAGCTGAAAAGAGTCCTCGCTCTATTTATATAGCCCATAGTCTCTGAAGAGTATGGAAAATGGCATTTCTCTCTGACCTCTAGAAGTTCAAGTGTCATGGGAAAAGAAAAAAAAAAAACAGGAACCCCCTTTACTCTTATGGACCTCATTTCAATATACTGTTTACAGTTTGACGGAATTGTATAATTTAATATTTCTCTTGTACTGTAGTTTATATTTATTTACAGATTTTTTTGTACTGTGTGATTTGAACTTTTTTTGTTCCTTGCTATGATCAACGTTTTATGTAGTAGAGCACTTATGATCACAAATTAAGGTTTTTGGTTTGATTGCACTACATTAATTTTTTTTAACGCAGTTCTGATTTTTTGACTGGACTAAATAAGCTGTGTCTTAATGTATGTGATAAGTACTTTTAAATTTTTAATTCATGTGGTCCATTTATTTTTATTTTTTTTGCATTGTATGTCAAAAGCGCTAATTCTCTTGTTGTGCATGTGTAAGATTTAATGGCTCCATTGTATTATTTGACCATGTCATTTTGGAAACACATTCCCGGCTGTAATGTTGTGTATGGTAGTTTTCACTGGATGCTAGACTTTTCAAAACCACTATTCTTCTAATAAATTTTGTTGTGAAAACTTTAAAAAAAAAAAAAAAAAAAGGAGGATTTGAAATTGTATTGTTTCCAAACGTGCTTTTCATATGGTCGCGGGAGCTGCCGGTGGTATTGTCAGCTCGGGATTGCCAAGAATAAAGCAAGCCAGGGAGGGAGCGAAGCGTGGAAGGGAAACGAAGGCTGGTTGAGGAATCGCGGTTTGAGTCTCCATCTGTTTCTTGTGGTGAGCAGGGCTCCCGACGAAACCTTTTTAGCAGGCGGGGAGAGGATGCCTGCGAGCGCTGGAAGTGCAATCTTGCTGCCGCTCCTCTTTCCACAAGCTCCCTGGCTCTCACTCGCTTTTCCCCCCGGACACCCTAATTTTCTTTTCGCAGTAAATAATTTATCTAGTGGAGAGCATGGTCGCGCCACAAAACGAGGTAGTTGGGCTTCTTGAGGATTTATCGATGAATCGGGAGCGGAGGCCGCCTTCTCCTGGCGTGGTTCGGCTTGGCTTGCCGATTACCTTCCCGGAGAGGTGGGCTGCGAGGTGGCAGTGCCGGCGCGCCTGGGGCTGGCTGGCTTGCCTGTGGAGGGAATCAAACCCGGAGACTTGCGGCTGGTGGGCAGGAGTTGGCGCGAGAGCCCCCGTTGGCAGTGCCCGCTCCTCCAAGCAGAGGGATGCTGGCAGCTCTGAGTAATGCATGGAAAGCATCCAGGACCTGCTCCCTGGCACCTCCTGCACTTGGCTCCGCATCGCGCTTCAGCTGTTCTTCAGGCCCGTCCAGCCCGGGCTTGCTGCAGCCACTCGCAGCAGGCTGCATTAATGATACGGGAGAGGCCGAGTTGTGAGAAGTAGGTTACGGCGAACATCACGGGAAAAGA